ACCCTGCCCCTAGATGCGCCCCTGACGCTTCCGATACCAGTATTGTTATTCTCAAAGGGCAAATTTGGTTTGGTATCGATACACCTTTTACTATCACTTATACCTCTTATCTTATAGCTAGTGGTTCAAAGATGCTAATATAAACACTCGCACTGGCTTTTCTGCTATCGTTATTCCTCGCGAAGCAAGGCGCGGAGCGGAGAGTTTATAATCTCGTCGCGAACGAAGCGCGCGCGCAGTGTGTGAACCGCGCGTGGGTCTTAGCGAGCAGCAAACTCGCAGCTCTCATCTTTACTTGTATGGTGTCCGCCATGACGTCTTACAGTAGTTGACGTCACGGCGTATTTTTGTTTCTAAGCAACATTCGACTGAAAGCGATTTTGAATTACACAATTAAACAGAAACGCTACAGTGAAAAAGAGAGAGCTTGTTCCCGTGCCAATGATAAGGGCGCGAGTGGGAAGTAAAGAAACGTCGAGAGAAGACTGGGTCAAAGGATGCGAGGAGCACAAATCACGTGATAATGTCATGACGTCAATGAAATGCAAAGAAACGAAACAACCGAAAAAGAGGTAAAATCCGTCAGGTCATGCAGCCCTTTAAGTGATTGTTTCGTAAAAAACTTCGATATTTGTTGGGGTGAAGCGAAACCCTCCAGCATAGAATGTGCAGCGGTGCCAAAAATAATAATGATAATAATGATGATGAAAGAATAAAGAATCTTCTAGGGGGAAGGGGTAGCTTCGACCACATAGAGTGTGAGAATCCTGGTTACTTGCAGAGTAGTTTGATATATATATGTCGTGACTGCCAAATGCTGGTCCAGTTGAAGCACACAAGTATACAGCGTAAGAGCGCCTATACGACCGGACTTGCAGCTTAATAGGATTGTACACAACGTGTCCAGAACCGTTGTCGTTGTTCAGTGAGTAGATGAAGGCTTTACTTGAATTTCCATACATACAAACTAGGAGATAAACAAAAACTTTTTACATTCTTACTCACCTTACTAAGCGAAACCGGCTCCGCACATAAAAATTCAACTTCTAGGAATCTTCCAAAAAGTCCGTGCACTACCGCTATATTTATATAAAATTCTCGCTCACGAATGCTCATGGATGAAAATATATGTCATTGGTTTTGTACAAATTCTCTGTCGTATCCTACACCGTATAACTCAGCAAAATTGGGCCGGGACCATCAAAACAAATTATTTTTTCCTATCTGACGGATACATTGATGGGGGACCGGACTGCCCCTCAAACCCTCCCCCTAGATCCGCCAGTGGTTGTAATAGTAAGCCCCTTGCAGTGGCGGAACCAGGGGAGGGGCCCGGGAGGCCCGGGCCCTCCCCTTATTGTTAGACCAAACCGAGGCCCGAGGGGCCGAAAAATTTTTTTGGGATACCGGGCCTTCCCTTATCTTAGGGTGTGGATGACCGGGCCCCTCCCTTATCTCAGGGTCTGGATGACCGGGCCCCTCCCTTATCTGAAGGTCTGGATCAGCGCCACTGCCCTGCTATCAAAATCCTTAAGATTTTGTTTCTTGTGCAAATTAAAGCTGTTGTTATTTAAACTTTCTGGGATAACTTGATTTGAATTCTGGTAGAAGAAACGAAATAAAATTTGACAGTTTTATTTAATGGACGTCATTATGAAAATGGCCTAATGGGGGCCCGAGGTACGTCTTTCTACATCTTTAGTCATAAACAAAGAACAAACGATAGTCCTGGTTTTCCTAGTACATGTACTCACCTGGTGGGCTTTTCCAGGATACGTCACTGTATCCACCAAATATGTAACTGCCGACTTGAATGATAGTAACAGTGGGTCCCTTGTCATCACAGTTGCCGTGGAACGTAGACGCCGCCCAGCCGTCCTCTTTAGCGTGCCAACACCTCACAAACCTACTACGGACCGAACTATTGATCACTGGCTCCAAAAATGAAGTTAAGTTTTCCAAGTACCTGCTGTCATTCCCAAGAATAGTTGATGCATGAAAACCACCTTAACAATTAAAAAGAAAACATTTTAAGAAACAAATTTAGTTGAAGCTATGTTCCAAGAATGGATTGATACTCATTACAAATTTGATGCAGAGCGTGTGCTGCTAAGATGACCGCCATATTCATTGCCCCCGCAGGGATTTCACCCAGAAGGGCCCCCAGAAGCGAAATTCCGAGGAGGCATCCTAGTAGCTCGCGCGTATATAAAGGAAAGTACTTACAGCTGAAATATGCAGTCGGTAAACCCGCAGATAGCAGAGGAGACTGGTTAGGAGGGCCAGCAAACATCAAAGTTTAAAACAACGGTACTGTACTCCTGACCGTGCACAACCCTTTGTTTTTTGTTCACAAATTGTGACTGAATAAATTAATGCAATGTTTCTATTGGTCACTAAGTTCAAAATGATAGGAATGCTATTGAGCGTGGTTCACGGGGTGGTCCAAAAAGGCTAACAAAACATATAACAAAGGAGTCTAACGAATTTCATAACCATTCTACTTTGATAACTATAGTATACCAGAAAAACTATCAACTTTTATTTTTATATCTTACTTTATTAATCTATCGATTGATTTTTTACCTTTAACCCCCAGAGGTTGTGCAACCGCATCGGTTGGGGAATACGTTCCCAATTTTTTCCCATTGGGTTTTTAGGTTTTCGTATCCGGTGGCGCACGTGAATAGTTTAGCCTGAGTGACTTTATTTAGGAATATTTGTATACCATTCTTTAGTTATGATGTTTAACTTTGTATGTTATTTGGACGGTATTTAACACTCAGGCTCCACAGTTCGAGCTGCACACCCGTTCCCGTCTCTTAGTCGTGAACTGAAATAGGAATGAATCTTGCTACGTATTTTGACCGTTCAAAAACTATGGGATTTTAATTTTCCTTGAGGGCTAGCTCCGGACCGTTTTAATGGATTTTCGATCGGAAGGTACGAGGAGAAGCGTGAATCTTTAGACCTTTTGGCTACGAAGTTTGAAAGCGAAGCGTTGTGATTTCTGGGGAAAAATCGCTCCGGCGCTGGAGCCCTTTAAAAACAAGGATTCCTCCCTTGTCCTTTTATTATAAGGATCAGGAACAGTAAACGGCGAACTCACAATCCTTCTAAATAGCTCAAAAAACCGCTTTTGAGGCAAAACGAGGACAATATACCACAGGTAAGGCAATTCAACGTTTATTCAACATTGATTTATACATAGATCGTTTCACATGACGTCACGGCGGCCATATTTGTGCACGAAACAATGAATCGGCGGCCATGTTTGTGTACAAAAAAATCCTGTGGGAATTGAACTCTTTTCACATGTTAAAACTTTCTTTTATTCCAAGCAATTTGCAAAGCTGCTGACCACGTGACTGAAAACGATCTATACATACTTAGCAATATATCGTTGTAGGTGAAGCAAACGGTAAATCCAGTACATTTGCTATAAAAAACAAAAGGTTACACACACATTGAGTGAGCGCCCTGTGGTGTGTGCAGGAGAACTTTTTTGAAAATCTTTGTCTCCGCAATAGAATTATGTCGCGGCAACAAGTTGCACAAATTCTATCTGATTTGATTTTGTGCGATAAAATTCTGCTGCGGACACAAAGATTTTCACGAAAAAATTCTTCAGTACACACAAAACGATTTGTCGCGCGCGCTGCGACGTTTTGCCGCGACTTGTCTAATTAATCAACTCCCACTCTCCTCCAACCTTCTCTCCGACCTTTCCTACTTCTCAGAATATTAAAACACTCACGTGCATTTATGCACTTCTGTCCATCTCCAACATATGGTGGGTTGCAAGCGCATCGGTAGGATTGCGGGATGTTTGTACAGTTTGCATTCTCGTCACAATCATGAACGTTGTCAGCACATTCATCTACATCTAAAAAAAATATGCCAGAGTTACACAATAACTCACCTCGCACCTTGGGATTATAACAATCTAGAAAAATAAAAAGCCGTGATGACCTGAGCTGATTAAGTTAGCGTCCGTTATTCAAATGGTAGCCAACACACTTGAAACCATTTTTCAGGGGCACCCAACGACTGTTTTCTGTAAAATATCTGTTCGGAGAAGCAAATATTGCCTAGAATTTTCTATTACTTAAGGACGGCTAAAATTTCTAGATGACTGTTCCATTCATGTACACAGGTTTTCGAAGTTTTTCCAATAAATCCGCTACGATTTTCTGAAGTTTAATTTTTAACATTTTACTTACCAGGTTAGGCTATTTTTCGTAGTAAAAAGGAAACCTAAAATTTTCGGATTCAAAAAAGCGATGTAGAGAAGAATTAGAAATATTCTCTCTTTCGTAAAACGTTAAATTGCCTTTAAAATTTTCGGAAAAGTAATACTGGAGCCCTAATAATTTCGAACAGACTCAAGTTCCCCTAGGATGACCGAACAGATACAAATTTTATAGCGCCGCTTATAATGCATTTCTAGAGATCTAAAAGTTCTCTGGATAGCCTAAAAAGTGTTTTAAATGTGTGTAGGAAGAAACCGTCGTTGGGTGCCCCTATTTTTTGTCGTCAGTTGCTCAAGGCGATGCTCTCGATATGGGCCGAGGATGTTAGATCTATTATACTATTAAAATTTATAAACAATTTTTCTTTGTATATTGGATTCTGAAGTCTTGTTGTGATCAGAAAAGCATTATCACCTTTTTCACAGTGTTCTCCAGTGTAGCCAGCTTTGCAATGACATAGGTACATCTTGACCGTGTAGCCAAGAAAACACTTTGCTTTGTTTTTGCAAGGATTAATAGCGCAGATATTCTATTAAAGAAAAAAACTGTTATAACTAAGATATTATTCATCGGGGTATCTGTTTAATAGGGCTCGTTCCCGGGGGGGGGGGGGGGGGGGGGGGTATTTGCCTTTGTTGGCTGATTGGGGGGGGGGGGGGGGGGAGGGTAGGGTTTTTAACGTGTTCCACTCGGGGTAGGGGGTATAAATCAGAGAGGTTAGATTTGGCATCGGTGTTGTTTTTTCCGAGAAAGTAAGTGTTGTTTGGAATATTTTGTTT